CGTAAGATAGTACTCCTCCGGTCCTTATTATAAGACCCAATTTGACTTTTTATTTGGTCCTAATTATAAGACCCAATCCATTTTCTCTCTTATATTTATGCATTTTTTTCCAAGATAATCTTTCTAATAATGATAGTTTTAGCCAATATACTTAATTAGCAAGGATATTTTAGGAATGACAACACTTATTTATTATAAATAACCAACTTAACTTACTTCCTTAATCTCCTCAAATAAGTCAATTGGGTCTTATAATTAGGACCGGAGGAGTAAAATAGCAATGACTTTATGTAGAATCTAATGATCAATATAAAACATAAAAATATTTGGAAGGTTAGCACATCACAAGGGGTATTATTAGAGAGTGCGCGGGACATTAGAGGCATCCTTCCCCATTGATATCTATTTTGCAATTTCTTCAAGTACTGACATAACTATATATAATGTAAAATGTGATGTGACACAGAGAAATATGGGAACAAACCAAATCGAGTTGGGTGAAAAGTAAAATGGATATACACACAAGGTTGATGAGGAGGTACAAGCAAGTACCTGAGTGGTGGTTCGTTTGCATATTGATCGTAACCATCGCAGGAACCATATTCACTTGTGAGTATTACAATGAACAGCTTCAGCTTCCATGGTGGGGGGTTTTACTCGCTTGTGGTATCGCCATCTTGTTCACTCTCCCCATTGGCATAATTACCGCAATCACAAACCAAGTACGTTAATTAATAATGACTAATAATATATAAGATTAATGTGTAAATTTTTCTTAAAAGTTTTCATTCAGAAACATTATGTATTCGAAAGTTTTCTTGTGTTCAATATCACCCGAAAACTTAAAATCGTAATGTTGTGCCCTTATTATTGTTAATAATTTTAATGGTCAATGTTAAATTTTTGACGATAAGGGGTAACATTACTGTGATTTTAAAATTTTGGGATGACATTGAACTAGAAAAGAAAAACTTTTAAGTACTTAGTGTTCCTAAGTGAAAACTTTTGAAACAAATTTGCATGTTAATCCTAATATATATGTGTGTATGTATAAATGTGTGTGTGTGTGACTATGTGATTGATCAATGGTTGTGATAAATTGGAATGATAATTGTTATCTGTGTTTCTTTGCAGACTCCAGGGTTGAACATTATAACAGAGTACATAATAGGATATATTTATCCAGGATATCCAGTGGCAAACATGTGTTTTAAGGTTTATGGGTACATTAGTATGACTCAAGCAATCACATTCTTGCAAGACTTCAAGCTAGGACACTACATGAAAATCCCTCCAAGAACAATGTTCATGGCCCAGGTTATGGGAACCTTAATTTCAGGAATAGTGTACTTGGGGACAGCATGGTGGCTTATGGAAACAATCCCAGACATATGTGAGGACACATCCTCCGTTTGGACATGTCCAAGCGACAAAGTATTCTACGATGCTTCTGTGATTTGGGGTTTGATTGGTCCACGTAGGATCTTCGGAGACGAAGGTTATTATGAGGCAGTGAATTGGTTCTTCTTGGGTGGTGCAATTTCCCCTCTAATAGTCTGGTTGGCTGCCAGGGCTTTCCCACAACAAGAGTGGATTTCACTTATAAACCTTCCGGTCTTGCTCGGCGCCACCGGGATGATGCCGCCGGCTACCGCCGTGAACTACACTACATGGATTATTGTCGGGTTTCTTTCTGGGTTTGTTGCGTATAGGTATTTTCCTAATTGGTGGAAGCGTCGTAATTATGTGCTTTCTGGTGCGCTTGATGCTGGGCTTGCTTTTATGGGTGTGCTTTTGTATCTTTGCCTTGGATTAGAAGGTATTAGTCTTAATTGGTGGGGTAATAACATTGATGGTTGTCCGCTTGCCCATTGCCCAACGGCCAAGGGAATCACAGTTAAGGATTGCCCTGTTTTTACATGATCCAAGGAGCATGTAGTGAGGTTAAGCAAGGCATTATAAAAGTCGCTTGAAGGGAATATGTTTATAGGGGGAAAAAAAAAGTACATATAAGTTGGTCATCAATTAATTCAAGATCCTTAAACTGTTTCTGCTTTAGTGTTAATTAGAATCTGTAATTTTATTTACTTGGGGTATATTTGCGCCTACAAAATGAAAAGTGGGTAAAGAAGTAACCTTTCATCATCATATTTGCACAACTAAATATACTACTACCTCCAATTTTTAATATAAGACCTTATTTGATTTTTATTTTAATTCTAAATATAAGACCCTAATCCACTTTGTCTCTCATATTTATGTATTTTTTCCAATATAGTCCTTCTAACAATGGTAGTTCTAGCCAATATACTCAATTAGTAAGGATATTTTAATAAAGATAACACATATTTATTGCAAATAACTAACATAACTTCTTTTTTTAATCTCCTCAAATTAGTCAATTAGCTCTTATAATTAGGACCGGAGGTAGTAACATTTTAATAATCTAGACTTGGAATTATTAATATGCGATGCTATTTGGGGGGGGGGGAGCTAAAAAATAGATCTGAGGGCATTTCTATATTTTTGGCTAAATTTCAATATCCCGTTTCAGTGTTGGAGTACTTAAATGGGGTCACGAAAATTTAGTGCATTTTCTGTTTTTCTTTTTCGTTTATGTATTTGCTTTTTAATTTCTAAGGACCTTTTCATTCTTTTTTATTCAAATTCGAATTTGCTTCACATGTGTTTGAGAAAATTCAGAATCTGATCCATCAAATTCAAATTTGCTTAGCAAATGCTTGGATTTGACCGACATCTAGCAAATTTGAATTTTCTCTTTTCCTAATCGTAATTAAAACTTAAATTGTAATGAACATAATTTTCTCAATTTAAATTTAAATTGAACAAATGACCTATTATTAAAAGCACTATTGAGTCTAATTTTTAATACAATATGAAGAGGTTTTGAATGATTCCTATCACATTAGAACTATAGTCAAAGAGCTTTTTAATGATAAGTAATTTGCCTAACTTAAATTTTAATTAAGAAAATTATGTTTAGTGCAAGTTAAGGTAAAGAAAGGAGCAGAATCTGTGGGAAAGTCAAACTTACTTAACAAATTTGAATTTCCTAATTTCCTTTCTTGCCTCAATGGAAGCTTAGATTTCATTACTCATAACTTTATCAATTTAAATTTGAATTAGGAAAATGACCCATTATAAAAAAAGCTTTTTAGGTCTAATTTCTAACACAATAAGGCTGATAGAAAAACATTTTGTATTTTTAAAGTCATGATTGAAAGATTGAGGAAAAGTCAGAAAAATGTTTGTGATCTTTGCTCACTGTTTTGAAAATAACTTTAAAAATACAAATAAATTTTGAATGGAACTTATTGCATTGGAAATTAACTTAGTAATCTTTCCAATGATAGCTCATTTGCCTAATTTAGATGTAAATTGAGAAATGTACGCTCATTGGAATTTGACCTATAAGTTGATTTTGTTTATGTTCGGATTTATAAATTGCTCTATCATACTTTCTTTTGGCTTGCGGATGTATTTTCATTCTATGCTTTATATAGTATTTATTTATTTATTTTTATATTGACCGTTTTGTTGAAATTTTTTTACTGCTAGCTTCGATCCTTAATATAAAAGTTAGGTATTTAATTTGAAAATATTAAAAAACTTAGTTAAAATGGTTATTAATTATAACAAATATGTGTTGATTTATCTAAACTACCTTCTTTAATAATATGTATTAAGACTATTTTTTTAGTGCCAACTCCTTACAATCAATAAAGATATTTTTTTAAAAAATATTATAGATTTAGAAGATGAAGTGGATTGATATCTTATATTTAGTATCAAACCTAACATCCTAACTAGTTTATATATTAAGGATAGGAGGTAGCATATTTTATTTATATTTGGTGATCTTTATATTTATATTATTGAATTTTCATATTTATTGTATCTATTTAAATTATAATTTATTATTTTTATTCATTTATTTTTTATTTATGAATTTGATTAATAAATACTCATTGAGGGTAATATGGTCAGTTGTATAAATTTTTGACTTATCTTACTACTCCTCCGGTCCTTAATATAGGACCCAATTCTTGAGTTGGTTTTGGTCCTAAATATAAGAGCCCATTCTCATATTTATCAATTTTCTCTAAATTACCCCTATGAATACTCCCTCAACCATAATCAAGTAAAAGAAGGAGAGGGGGTATTAAAAAAGATGATTGTGGTGTTTTAGGAAAAATGTGTCACTTTTCTTATAATTAACTAACTTACCTAACTTCCTTAATCTAATCAAATTAGTTAAATGGGTCTTATATTAAGGACCGGAGGAGTATCATTTTCACCCTACTGAACATAAATTTTTGTATCAAACCCCTTTTCATTTTAGTACATACCAAACACATTAGTGGTAAGATTTTTTTTTCCATTCTGTTTCTTTCTATTTTCTTTCCTTCTTTTTCATCGCAGTTAATTCTTCCTAGCAAATGAGCCCAATTAGTTTTTTTTCCCCTTGAATTTTGTTAAGTAGGTGCATTGAGTTTGAATATATAGGAGAAAAAAGTACACACACTTTTCATTATAATATGATATAATTATGGCTCATAAATTATATAAAATAAGATAAAATAGATATAGGTATTACAAATATTTATTATTTTATATTTCTAAAATATTTATTACATACAATATTAACTATTTGTTTTAATTTATAATTTTCACTATTTTAAATTTTTATTAGTTAAAAAATTAGTCTTAAATTAATAATATATTAATCTATTTATAATCGATTCGATCATGGTTTGGCCATGATAATCGAGATCTGCTAACCTCTTCAATCTGACTTTCAGTTTGGTATTTAAAATGTTATTTATTAGCTGTATATTAGTTTTCACCTTAATTTAAAAAAAAAGAAGAAGAAGAAGAAGGAGAAAGAAAAGAGAAAAAAATCTTATTGATCTATTGGTTTATTCAGCATGATTCTCTTGGAAAAAATCATGACAAGGTTATGACCTGCACTGCAAGAATTGTGCACAGCAAACATGCATTCTTATTATTATTTTTGCTCATAGTAATCCTATTACATTACATTACTTTCCCTGTGTAATAAAATTAAGATGTCCCTCCTTCTGTCTCCAAAAAAAAAAAAAAACAATTATACTGTTTCCTTGTGCGTTACGTGTACAGAGAAACCCAACCTGGAGAACCTATTTGCATTGCAATGTTAAATCAATGCAGGTTCTAAAGTTTTAAATTTTCTGTGTAAATGATTCTCCAACCACAGAAAAAAAAAAAAAAAAAAACCTATGAAGCCAAAAATTTCATGCAGATAGGAGGATTAACTTTTGCAAGAGCAAGAATTGAAGCAGGAAGAGTCCAAAGTCCTTCACCACAAATAAGTCCAGAAGCAACCGCAGGAACCATTAACTCTGCCTTCTTTGAATTAACTCTCTCCCAAACAAAAACAACCAAACTTCCCACGCACATATCAATGGCAAAATATGCCCCAACCAGAAATGGAACTGCCATAACCATTGGCAATGGCATCCATTTCCCAACCTTCTGTGGAGCCAGATCTCGAACCATATTTATCAGTACTGCAAAAGCAAAGAAGCCATAACAAAGTTGTAAACAATGGTGGGGCAATGCAGAGAAACCTTCAACTCCTATAACTGCCATGTTTCTGTAGATCAAAGCATAGGGAGCTTTGAATTCTCCATTTGGATTTCCCACATCGAAAGCTTTGTAGAACATGAAGAAGCTTAAAGGAGCTGTGATACATCCCAGTATGGTTCCAATAACTTGACACATGAACATTGCTTTTGGAGATGTGTAAGTGTAATGTGCAGTTTTGAAATCTTGCATCAGAATGCATGAGACAGAAACTACGGATTTAATCAGACCACAGCCTACGAGTCCTGCAACTAAACCATTTTCTTTTCCACTTGAAGCAGCAAGAACAAAAAGGGCAACTTTACCATAATTATATGCCATGTTTATGTCTGTTAAACCTGATCCATATGCATTGCAGAATGCCAGAGAAGGAGCAAAAATGTAAGCCCCAACAACAAAGTACCATTTTAGCTGTGGAAACATGTGAGGGATTATTATTGCGGATAAGATAGAGAATATGATGTATCCAATGATTCCAATCCATATTGGAATGTTATCTCTTAGGAAGATTTCATTCTGTTTGAGGTTGCCTTTTAAGTTCCTCTGACCTTGATCAGCATTGTTTAATGTTGCTGCCAGAAACCCCAAAAGGAAAATGTATTAATTAAAACTGCTGTCTTAATTTTGAAGAATGGAAAATAGCTAGCTTTGCAAGTTCCAACCAATCTTTAGTGGTTATTACTCTTACAGTTTTGAAGCTTCCTGCTCTTTATTCGTTCAAGCATGCTGAGGATGGTGGAAATTAGTATCTTGATGAAATTGTATATGCCATCACCAAGGATTAAGGCAACTGATATGAAAACCTGATGATGAATAGTCAAAAGAGTAAATGCAAAATCAAAGCCATCTTGAAATCTGTTTTAAAAGTAATAGGGTTAATGTCCAATTTTTTCCTAAAAGTCTTTGCATAAGAGCTATGGTTGTCCAAAATTATTTGAAGATCAATATCACCCCGATGACATTAAAAAGGGCAATTTTGCTTGAGCCGTTAAAAAACTTGCATTGACTGCTAACACTATTAACTATTAGGGGCGACATTTCTCCTTTTTTAACATTTTTGAGGTTGTAGTGATCCAAAAAAACTTTCAAATATCCACAGCTCTTATAAAAAAAAACTTTCATAACAAAATTGGACTTTAACCCAAAGTAATAATGTGAAGTGGCACCTTATAGCCGTATAAGCCCTTCATACTTTCTTCAGAAGTTGGAGGGAACCAATGACCTTTAAGCTGATCAATAAGCGGCCACATCACACCAAAAGAGAGCACAGCTCCGAGAAGCAAAGACAAATTCACAATGTGTGAACAAATCATCCCTGCTCCCACATAAGTCATGCTAAAATCGAAATAAAATCTGCAATATATATACACAGACATATTATCACGACAGTTGGAAACAAACAAGGACAATTGATGTTGTTGGTTGAAAAGTCATACGTTTGTTTCCAAGCTTGGAGTCCAAAGGTAGGAAACTGTTCAAATCCACAGTCATTCATCCCTGAGAAGAACCACTTAAATAAACCCCACAAGAAACTGATGGAAAAGTACTTCATGAACCCGCGAACTTGCTTCCTGCATTATTATATGTAATACATGTTCTATCACTTCCTATTGTCTAGTCTCCAGCATAAAACTACTTGTCTGCTATACAAATTGGTAATACATATGCCTTTGGTTCTCCACAAAACATGAAAACTAACTCTCTTCATCAATTTCCAAATGAATCATTTTCCACAGTTGTATTTTAAAGGAAGAGGGTCTACTTTTGTCTCAGAAGTTTTCGCCTGGAAACTGTGGATACTCAAAAGTTGTTTTAGGATCAATATATCTCCTCATAAGCGTTAAAAAGAAGCAAAATCACCCTAACAGTTAAAAAATTAATATTGACTATTGACATTTTTAACGGCTAGGAGCAACATTGCTCTTTTTCAATACTTTTGAAGTGATATTGATTTAAAAAAAGTTTTGGATGCCCATAGGTCTTACTAGAAAACTTTTGGGACAAAATTGAACCGTAACCTTATTTCAAATAAACAAAGTATGATGACTGGATAGGAATTTTACATACTTGGCCATCTTGTCCCCTTGGGTATGAAATCCATTGATGAGAACTGCCGTTGCTAAGCCACTGGGATATGTTAATTTGAGGTCAACTATCATGATCTACACGGTAAAAGTGCTCTTATTTAGCCAATGATTTTCTCTCTGTATACCATACTCAGAAAAATCTAACACACCATAAAAAGTAGTACATCTCCATTTAGCTGTTCCATTCGTATATCATAACACTCTTTACTTGGAGTGAGAAACTTCTAATAAGTGAACTTTATAGTTTATTATTATTTAATTCCTTATACAGATTGACATGCAAAGAAGAAATATGGGTTAACATAAACTTTAGTTTCTGAAATTTGACTCTCTCTTCGTTTTGACCTATGAAATTCAAAACCAGTATTTTTGGCCTTTGAAATTTACTGTGTTTATAGATGTTAGCCACTAAAAGCTAAATATGATTTCAAATTTCAAGGACAAAAAAATATTGGTTTCAAATTTCAGGAACCAAAATAAAAATGAGATCAAATTTCAAGAATTAAATATTGTATTAACAAAAATTAAAAAAAACACTAAAAGGTACCTTTCTGAGTGGAATCAAGACAAAGAGGCCAACAAAGCAAACCACAAACAGATATCCTGTCATCCAGCCAAATCCAGGTTCTTTGATACCCTTTGGACTGTTTCCCTCTGTGCCGACTCCTGATAATTCATATGTCTTCCGGTTCATCCCCAGAAGATAAGAAGCAAATCCTCCTGCAAAATATCAAACATAAAATTAAAGAAGAAACAGGTCAAGAAAGCGAAAGAGATCAAAGGGAAGAAGAAAAGAAAAAGAAGCAGAGGTAATTAAATTGGACCTCCAATCGCAATGCTATAACAAGCCACTGCACAAGTCTGTATAATTGTGTTTTCTTGGCGAGTAAAAGGCTTAGAAACAAAGCCAGCCTTGTGCAACACTTTGGTCCAACTCCTCATAAACACAAAGGCCAGAAGAGCAGCAGAAACATTAAGATTTGGAACCAGTCCAGTGGTGAGATTGAGCTTCATGGCTATTATACTGTACATAATCCCAATAACCATGCTCACTAACACCCCTCTTACTGTTATTTGCTGTGTCCATGGCTGAATCCTCTGAGATTCACCTCCAAGTCCCACCACAGCTTTATTCTCTCCCACATCAATTTCTTCTTGTCTTTCTTCACTCTTTTCTCTGTCCAGTTCACTTGAAGGATTCATCTGCATAATTTTAAGCCTCTCTTTCAGTCATAACACACACAAGAACCCAATATTATATAACAGGTGCCAATAAAGAAACTAGTTCTTCTGATAGAGATATCAATGCATAGACAAACTCACCTTGATCTGTAGTTTAATTTCTCTCACTGCCTTATTACCGCCGGTTGGGGTAGAGTAAGAAAGACAGAGCGAGAAAGAAAAGAAAAGGATGAATTGAAGACTATCATCGTGTGGTTATGGTGTACATATAGATCATATTGTTCAGTGATTACGTGTACAGTATATAATGCTGATTCCCTTTGAAAGGTACAACAACAACAATAATATATCCCTAGAAAACAATGTTGGCGTGTGGTGTGCGCGTGTTTCAACTTTGTAATTAATATTGGTTTATCGTTACGTTGTTTGGCTTCTACCTTCCAAATTGTTCTAATCAAATAAGTTTGACGTGAAAGCTCTTGTTGGCCATCTAAGACTGAGCCTAGTAAAACAACAGCAATAGCAGTGCCTTATTCTACCAGGTGGAATCGGTTACATGATTAAATTACCAAATCTTTAGGTAGATTATTAATCCAAAGATCTCGCTCAATAACTTTATTGAGTACTTTATTTAATCTTTTTTTATCCTTTTTAAGAGGACTTCATTAAGTGTTAAAGACAATAGTTTTAGCAATGTAATACCTGCTGAGGCTGAAGAAATCTGGGCTCAATAGGTAGTCACAGTGGAAAGGAAAAGTAAGATTTAAAATTTAATTATTCTTATTATTATATAAGTGTAATCGTTTAATTTGTAGTTATTGTGGGGGAAAAGTTTTACAAAGGGGAAAGTATTCATTCACTGCGACTGGCTTGACTCTTAGCATGATTATACCTTATCATTGACCTGCCTGCACTGTGAGGTCGTTGTGATTACACGTTTCAAGTGGGAAAGATTCTCCGAAGGGCCACCGCTCAAACAGGCTATATATGAATTTTCCATCCATTTGGTCCATTTACGTTATTCTTTTTTTTTTAAGTAAAATTGTTTATTTGTTTATACATATTTAATTAGTGCACAATTAATATTACGACTCATTTACTGATCCCTCACACAAGGTGATAAACTAGGATCCAAATCCTCATCAAGAGATGTTTTGATATTAATTAAGTATATGATTCCCTTTAATAGGAAAAAGATACTCATGCTTATGAAAAAACTAAGGTTAAAACACACAAAATTCTCTTGAACTTTGAGTTAGTTACACATCATCGCCTTGACCTTTAAAAATTTAAATTGAAAACCCTGATATTTTCTATTTTGATTATAAATTCCTCTACCGTTAAAATTACTGTTAACTTTAACAGATTTTGCCATGTCACAATTTTTATATATTTTATTATATACCTTATCAATTAAAAAAATAATATTTGACATTTGACATGAAATTTGAAATTTGAAATTTGAAATTTTTTCTAAGAATTTAAAATAAAGTAACTAAAAAATGCAAAATACTTTAAAAAATATTTAAAATATTTATCTGATTTATGTCTTTTTAAAATAAAAAAGTATAAAATATTTAAAATTACATTTCTATTTTTTTAATTGATATGATACATAATAAAAAGTTAAAAAATTGTAACATGGCAAAAACTGTTAGAATTAACAGTAGACTTAGCGGTAGGAAAATTTATAGTTAAAACATGAAATGTCAGGATTCTTAATTTAAATTTTTAAAAGTTAGGGAGGTGGTGTGCAGCCGACTCAAAATTTAAAAGGGCTTTTTTTTTTTTTTATTTATCGGAAACAAATTGATTTGCCACCGATGTCACCAAGACATCGGCCTCTTCAAATATATCTTTACCAATTTGAAAGGCGTGACGTGAGCTATATTCATAATTGTAAAATTTTTAAGACCAGATAATTGTCAACCTAGTTCGTCCTTTCTCTTTCAAGCTATCCTTTAGTTTTTATTTTAATATTTTTTGTTAAAAAAAGGTGTGTGTATATATATATATATATATTACTCATGCAATGCATAATGTTTGAATTTGAAATTCTTAATATTGTCTTAAAAAATTAAAATAAATTCATTTGCGGTACAGTATACAGTAACAACGGGCTTTCTTAAACTGTTAATTAAGTTGTTTAAATTAATTCTAATTTAAGAATTAAAAATATAAAATATAAAGCTCAGACCATTTGAATTAAATTTAAATATTTTAAATCTCAAATTATATACCAGAAACACAATATAGTCATAGCTGATATGAGTCGCAAATCTGGGCTCCAGTAATAATTAAATTTTTAATTAGTTCCTTAGATTTATTTAAATTAGTATCAATTTGATTCCAGAAATTTAATTTTTCCCACAATTTATGAAGCGGTTATCATCCTTGAGTTAATAGTTTTATCACATTTGTATTTAGGATTATAAAATTAATCACGTATGATTATGAAAATTTAGGGACTTGATAAATAAAAAATAATTTATATTTCAGGGGTCAAATCAATAATTGAGGTAAACTTTAAAGGAAAAGGTTTCATTTTCCCAAAGTATAACTTTATAGGTTTTTTGGAGAAAATGATTACTACTACTTCTATTTTTTATTTGTTTGTTTTTTTAAAAAAAATAAATTAGAAAGAAACAGAACCCCTTACTGACCTAGAGAGGAATATGTGCTATACGGAGTGATTTTCAAGCAGGGGTTCGAAGGAAGACTGGAGATGGAGTCTCTTCATCATTATGGTCTGATAATTAGTTTTTGAAACGGATATTCCACTTATCGATCTAATGTATGGCTAGGAGGATTAAATTCATCATAGGGAATGTTTTGCTGATTATGTCATGAATAATGGAGGGTGGGACAGGAAGATAATGGAGTTGTGGTTTCATGAACATATAATTGATCATATTGCCTATGCACACTCATCCCGAAAAGAGAGAGGAGAGGATAAAATATTTTGAAAACTGTCTATCGATAATTATTCTGCTAAATCTACCTATCGCATTTTCTTTTTGCAAGTTCCTGATGGAGATAACATTTAGAAAATCCTTGAGAGATAGTTCGTTTCGAAAAAGATCAAAATTTTATGCACATGAAAGAGCACATATGGCACAACTAAGAGCAAGAAGAGGATTGAAAGCATCCACTACTTGCTCTTTTAACTGTGAACAAGAGGAAGATTTAGAGCCTATCTGGCATAGCTTTAAAAATCACTTATAAACACATTTCACATAAATCAAGGTAAAACTTTTCTCACATACTTACCTTGTATTCTATAAATTATGATTAAAAAACAACTTATAATTAAGTTATTCTAAATAGGCCATCAACACATTTGCTATGGGATTGCTCAAGTTCTATTGAACAATGGAAATATGTGGTCCAATTTGATAAATGGGTCATTTTTTCTCCTCTTCAAGGTGTACAAAGTGGGTTAAGTGCAACTTGACACACATGAGATTGGAATGAATTATACCAAAAAGGTTCCGTGCCAACTCTATCTGGTTGTATTTGCTGGGACATTTAGGTTTCTCGATGCAGCAAGTTGTTTAGGTCTAAAGTTGCTAAAGTAGGTCTCAGTGCAACTTCTAGTTTCTTCAAGGCATGCTCGAATCAGGATCTTGTTAAGAATATCACACACAAACATATGGGCTGCTTAGGGGAAGACCTACTTATTCCTAACCAAGAAGACTATATCGAATTAGTGGCAATGAATGACTCTATACAGGATGCAAATGAGTCATGGCTTGGGGGCTTCAGCTGCAAACTTACAAGTATTCTGTCTGTGGTGGCGGAGTTAACTGGTTTTATTCATGGTCTTAATTTACGTTGGTCAAAAGACTTTGGAAAAATTACTTTGTTATATAACTATATAGAAGCTATTAATCTTTCACTCAAAGGATGTGATAGTGATTATCATTTCAAGAATGTAGTGGGTGAGGTTAGGTTTGTTATTCTTAGAGATTGGCAAGTTATAGTTACTACTAACTACTCGTGTCTAGAAAAGCCATAGCTATATCTAACTAGTTAGCTAAATCTACGCAAAGCATAGAAAGTAATTCTTGTATTTTTGATCACCCTTCTGCTCTTTTTATTCAAAAGGCAGAAATTGAAGAAGGATAGGTCGTATGGTTTTGTTGACTCTCTTTTCCTTAGATAATGAATTACAGTCTCCATTCAAATTCAAATTCAATATATATATATATATATATATAGACACACACTCGTTACAGTCTCCAATGTGCTCTCAGGAACAGGAATTACTTGCTTCCCTCTATTTTCATGAGTTTGGCTGTATTTGGTCCCCTTTTTGGCTTAAGCAAATGACAAACATATTCGGCTACAGTATACAATACAGCTGTTTGGGTCCGTCCGTCCATCCATCCTCGCATCGAGCTAAGAAAGGTTGGCAAAAGAAAAAGGTTTTTGATACGTTTTGGTTTTATAAATCTCATAGACGGAAAATAGTTGTTTTCTTCAACTATAACTATATCAAGTAGAATGAAAATGACTTAATTTCATTCTTAAGTAAAATTAAAGATTGGACTTTTGTTAATATAAAAAGATGATATGCAAGGATTTATCATCAGTGAGATCTGATAAAATTTATTCTCAATTATTGGACATGATAATATTAAACAAATATACAGGATAATCACAATTTAAAAAACAACAGGAAAAGAAAAAAAAATTTATTCTCTTCTGTCAACTTATCACTTGCATCCTTCATGGTCATTTGAAAGGAAAACTACCTTTTTACCAGCGCTTTTTTCCGAATTTCAAAAGTTATTCATTGGAACCATATCAACCGTTCATAATGGACCACTCACCATTATCACATCATCACACCATCATTGTAACAAAACTTTTACCATTCAGAATTGTATTTGAACAGTTCAGATTTATTTTTTAAAAAGTATTGATTATAAGATCGATTATCTTTATTTTAAATTTTGTATCTATTAAAATAAAAAAATTTAAATTAAATATAAAATATCTAAAATTAATATGAATGGTCCAAACGAGCTCATAGATGCTTCTCTCGATTTGTTGTTTTTATGGAGGGTAAAGTAGCAGTTTGTATGGTAAAACTTAAAAGCAAAGGCTTGTCACAACCCCAATTCTTGCGTTTCGCTTTCATTTGGACCAAAAACAATGTCTCCGCCGGACAGCATCACCCGCACTAATTGTGCGCCAATAATGAATTTGTCTTTGCATCAATCCACCAATTTGTGGC